AATTATAGATCATGTGATATTGTAATACATTTATAAATTATGCAATGATCAAGTCAGCAATTACTATAGTAGTAACATTAAGCATTTGTGATGAGAACAACGAAAACTTTCTTTTGTAGCTATTACACAGTATACTATTATTAACTAACTAGTATACTATTGAACAGAACACCAGAACATTCTTGAATGAACATGTACTATCCATTTTTCAAAGGTTGTCTTTGCTTCAGGCAGTGTTTTATCTCCTTTTATCAAAATGACTTTAATGCACCGTTACTATTAAATACCTAAGAAGTCGCTTTTCTGTAAGTATAATGGAGTAATCTGAGGTCTGTAATCCACTACTACTAGCTTCTACTTTAAAGGCACTTCACCTACAACATCTTAATTATACTCTGCACTCGGAGCACAAGAGAATTATAATCAAAAACAACTGGAGGAGCTGTATATGTTGGCCAATGCCTGTTATCCCAACCAATGAGGAGCTGAAGTAGCAAGCCCACAAATTGAAAGGCAGCTTGGGTTATATAACAAGACCCTATATACCAAAAAAAAAAAAGTTGGTCTGGACCTAAGGACAGTAAATGGAAACTCCATGGAATGAAGAATTTGCTACATCTAAAGTTCTTTAACATATTAGGTAGGTAATTAAATTTAGAAGATTTTCCACTCTTTTTTACATCTGAATTTCTTATTTTGTTTTTAACTATTTATTGATTTTATGTATATGGGTGCTCTGCCTTTCTGGAAATCAGATCTCATTACAGATGGTTGTGAAACATGGTTGCTGGGAATTGAACTCAGGACCTCGGGAAAAGCAGCCAATGCTCTTGACGACTGCAACATTTCTCCAGCCCCCTGAATTTCTTATTCTTAACACTGTTAATGGATTTAGAGTTGTAATAAAACTGAAAACAAGAGCTGAATTCTGCTTTGTTCAGCCATATTTTCTAAGTACATTATAAAAGTATTTGCAGTGCTGCTTTGTCAGAAGAAACACTAAATTACGAGTCATGTTAAAATGTTTCTATTTTACTAAGGATATATTTTTGAGGAGAAACTGTAAACAATTCAAAAATACAGACAAGTTAAGCATAATAAATAAATAAATAAATAAGGTAAAAATTCAGACAGGTATGGTAGATTTAGGGTTAAAGGCAACAAAGACCCAGCATCCTCAACAAAACCATACATCAGGAAAAGGCATATAAGAAAAGCCCTTAAATAAAAGAAAATTGAAAACACTTACAATTTTCATTAGCATTGAAGCTTCTAAGAATGGCCTTCAGTTCCTGCAGCTTCTGATGGGCTCTTGCATGTACACTATCAATCAGGAGCTTTTCTATTGATAAGTGGTCAATCTGCATAAATAGCAACAATAAAGTCAAATGTACAATTAAAACATTTTGATCATAAAAGTGTGAGTGTGCACACAACTGTGCCTTAACATACTTCTTTTCCATAATGGAGATTAACTAGTATAAAGAAACTTAGATAAAGTAAAAATATAATGTAAATGAGTGTGACCTTTTAATTATTTTGTATGACTTTAGAAACTTCAAAACTAAAACTGCTATTTTCCTAAATACAATAGGCTAGGGGTATAGTTCAGTCGGCCAAGTGTTCAGAATGCAGAAAGTTCTGGATTTGATTCCCAAGCATTTCATAAATTGTGTGTAATCTCAGAACTCAGGAGGTAAAGGCAGGAAGATCAGAAATTCGAAGGTCATCTTCAGATACATAACAAGATTGAGGTCAGCCTAAGTGACATGAGACCCTTCCTTGCACTTAGGAGGAAGATACAGGGAACTCAATCTATGGGAATTAAGGCCATCCTAGTCTAAATATTAAGTTCCAGGCTTGCCATGGCTTCATAGTGAGATTCCACCTCAAAGCAACAACATNGACAGCCTAGGATACAGAGTGAGACTCACATATATATATACATACATACACACACACACAGACACACATAGTAGCCACAGTTCTCAGATGCCAGACCTTAAAAAATAAAAAATAAAATGGTCTGATTTAAACTACAAAACTTAAACTAGGCTGAAGGCATAGTTCAGCATAAGAGTGTATTCTTAGATGCAATAGCATTGCTCTAAATACTAAACTAAAAGAAGATATTGAAAATTATTTTATATAGTATCAGATGTTAAAAAGACAAAAAACAACTACGGAAGTATAAAACTGACCTAAAACAAGTTTTATACAGGGGTTTAGAAATGATTACATATTTCAAAGAATTTGTGGTAAAAGTTTTCTATGTGCTAAATTATATTTATTTATTTAATCAATTAAAATACACTGAGAACCGTTTACCTTCATAGCTCTTTCTACTAATTTAGAATCAGAAGATGGCAAAGGAGGATCATGAAAAATCTGTAAAGGCTTGGAGACATCATTTTCATCAATTTTAATTGTAACTTTGTGAACAGATGCTGTGCCTGTTTTTCTCCCTAGAACCTGTTGACTGAAAGAGGGCAGGGGAGAATGACATATCAACACAATGTTTTAACTTTTTTGTTTTGTTTTGTTTTAACTTTTATAGTCAAACAGATACATGCATTATGCTACTGAGTCAGAACCTTAAACATAGCAGGCCCTCAGTGTGTGATTGTGCAGGGATACATTAATATGGAGAAGATAGTTATTCTATAAACTAATTCAGCATTTGCTCTATTACATTTTAAAAATAAAATACTTGCACTCACAAAAACAAACCCAAAACTTAAAAACAGAAACCATCTTATAGGTAGTATCTGCCTCTGATTTATCTACAGAGAAATCAGAACTCAAATTCAAACAAGAATTAAAGGTAAATAGGATCAAGGCACTTTTTTCCAAATCAGGTTTTATAAGTTACAATTTAAAATGGGAAACTGTGGAAAACAAGTATGTTTTAAAAAGTGATAACTGCGAGGTTCTTGGCCCAGGAACAGTTCCTGCTCCTGCACTGAGGAGATCCATCCAGAGGGGTAAGTGTGTGCTCGCCCAGCAGGAAGGTCCAGAAGGGAGTACAGGGCCCCTCCAACTCCTGCTGCAGGGGCTTCTTTGTTCCACATGACCCTGCCTCCCCCAGGCCTGCCTTATTGTCTGCGAGGTCCTTGGCCCAGGAACAGATCCTGCTCCTGGACTGAGGAGATCCATCCAGAGGGCACTCCTTTCCATCTGCGGGGTCCTTACCCCCAGCACAACTGGCTCCAGTGCTGAGGGGCCCTAAGAGAGGCCAGACCAAGAAAATCCCCCAAGTACAAAGTCAGTCACAGCAAAGATTGGACCAAGACGACAAGACTCTCCTAGCTGCATCTGAACGAAAAGATGGGCAAGCGCCAATGCAAGAATTCCCAACAACCTGAAAAGCAACATGACAACACCAGAATCCAGTGATCACGCAACAAGAAGACTTGAACACCCTATTCCAGAAGAAGTAGAAGAAATAGACTTTAAACGTTAACATTATGAAAATGATAGAGGACCTCAAACAAGATGTGAAAAACTCCTTTAAAGAAATGGAGAAGACAAATAAAAAGTTAGAAGAAATAAATAAATCTCTCAAAGATACCCAAGAAAACCAAGAAAAAACAATCAAACAGGTAATGGAAACTGTTCAAGACTTGAAAAATAAAATAGAGGTAATGAGGAAAACACAAACCGAGGGATGGATGGATATGGAAAATCTGGGTAAACAAACAGGAACTACAGAGACAAGTAAAACCAACAGAATAAAAGAGAAAGAAGAAAGAATCTCAGACGCTGAAGATACTATAGAGAAAATAAACTCATTGATTAAAGAATAGCAAATCCAACAAATTCTTAACACAAACATCCAGGAAATCTGGAACACCATGAAAAGACCAAACCTAAGAATAATAAGAGTAGAAGGAGAAGAATTACAGCTCAAAGGCCCAGAAAATATATTCAACAAAATTATAGAAGAAAACTTTCCCAACCTAGAGAATATTCCTAAGAAGGTAAAAGAGCATACAGAACACCAAATAGACTGGATCAAAAAAAAATCCCCTCGCCATATAATAATCAAAACACAAAACATACAGAATAAAGAAAGAATATTAAGAGCTGCAAAGGAAAAAGGTCAAGTCACATATAAAGGGAAACCTATCAGACTTACACCTGACTTCTCTATGGAAACCATGAAAGCCAGAAGGTCTTGGATAAATGTGCTGCAGACACAAAGAGACCATGGATGCAAGCCCAGACTACTATACCCAGTAAAGCTTGCATTCACCATCAATGGAGAAAACAAAATATTCCAGGACAAAAACAGATTTAAACAATACGTAGCCACAAACTCAGCCTAGAACGTACTAGAAGGAAATCCACAAACCAAGGAAACCAACAACACCCATAATAACACAAATACCTGACAACCCTCCATCTGCACAACTCAAAAGAAGGGAAACACACAAACACTACCACCAAAAAAAAAAAAAAAAACTAACTGGAGTTAACAACCACTGGTCATTAATATCACTTAATATCAATGAACTCAATTCACCTATTAAAAAGAATAGGTTAAGAGAATGGATACGAAAACAGGATCCAACATTCTGCTGTTTATAAGAAACACACCTCAACCTCAAAGACAGACACTAACTCAAGAGTAAAAAGTTGGGAAAAGGTTTTCCAATCAAATGGATCTAAGAAATAAGTGGGTGTGGCTATACTAATATCTAACAAAATTGATTTCAAACTAAAATCAATCAGAAGAGAGGGACAAGGAAGGACACTTTATACTCATAACAGGAACAATTCATCAGGAGGAAGTCTCAATCCTGAATATCTACACCTCTAATATGAAAGCAACCACATATGTAAAAGAAACATTACTAGAACTCAAAGCATACATCAAACCCCACACTCTAAGAATGGGTGATTTCAACACTCCTCTCTCACCAATGGACAGGTCAATCAGACAGAAATTTAACAGAGAAATAAGAGAACTAACAGATGTAATGAACCAAATAGACTTAACAGACATCTATAGAATATTCCACCCAAACAGAAAAGAATATACCTTCTTCTCAGCAACTCATGGAACCTTCTCAAAAATTGATCACATAATCGGTAGCAAAGCAAATATCCACAGACAGAAAAAAATTGTAGTAACCTCCTGTGTACTATCAGATCACCATGGAATAAAGTTAGAATTCAACAACAATGCTACCCCCAGAAAGCCTACAAACTCATGGAAACTGAACAGTCAACTACTGAACCACATTGGGTCAAGGAAGAAATAAAGAAAGAAATTAAAGTCTTCCGTGAATTCAATGAAAATAAAGACACAACATACCCAAACCTATGGGACACTATGAAAGCAGTCCTAAGAGGAAAGTTCATAGCACTAAGTGTCCACATAAAGAAAACAGAGAAAGCACACATTAGACACTTAACTGCCCACCTGAAAGCTCTAGAAAAAAAAAGAAGCAGACTCACCTAGGAGGAGGAGAAGACTGGAAATAATCAAACTGAGGGCTGAAATCAACAAAATAGAAACACAGAAAACAATCCAAAGAATCAATGAAACATT